GCAACCCTATCCACCCAGGAAAATTATGTCCCAGTTGCACAGTACTGCCTGCTAGGCTGGACCCAGTCGCATGGAAAGGAACTCATGAGGACTTGAAGGGGGCACCTCACTTCCCCTGGTATCTTTCTCCCCATACTGTGTCCTCTTTCTTTCCTCCTGGCTACCCTCCTGGCAACCTTTCCTGCCTCCTTCTCACCCACCAGCCAGCCTACCTTTTAACAGCCTCCCATTTTCAGCTACATTTGTTTGTTTGTTTGTTTGTTTATACCCCTCCTTTCTCCTCAATAGGGACCCAAAGCAGCTTACATCAGTCTCCTTTCATCTATCTATCTGTCTGTCTGTCTGTCTGTCTATGTTTTTTATTCTTTCTACAACATACCTAAACATGACAAACATCCACTCTAACATAAAATTGGGGGTATGTTATATATATACATAGTTCGCAGCCATCTATATATCATTTTATGCTTATACCTTACAATGGATATTACTTTTATAAACGCTTTCGCAACTATTCGTATGTACAAACTTCACTGTTTTTTCAGTTAGCTTATATATCTTGTCTTAGAATCATAGAATGTGAGAGCTGGAAGGGACCTTGCAGATCATCTAATCCAACCCCCTGCACTTTGCAGGAGTATACTGAAAGATAGCCCTACATGCCTACAACATACCCGAAAGATGGTCCTTTAATTATTTTTTTCCAGTGGGGTCAGTTCTCCCAGGAATGTCCCTCTCTCTGATAACATTTCCGTAAAATTTTTTAGTTGGAGATATTGGTACCAAGGTGTCTGTGATCCCAAAATTTGATAAAAAAACTCTTTGTCATATCTTTTCCCTTGGTGAACTAGGTCAACAGGCCGGTTTATGTGTCCTTTTGTCCAGACCATGAACTCATTCTCTTTCATTCCAGGAGGAAACCAGCTTTGATGCATATATGGTAAGAGTTGAGAGATCCCGTTTGGAAGAAGCCTCTTTTTTTGGTCCCATAATTTGATTGCTGAATTTAATTGGATGTTATTTTTAATGTTTTTTGGTCTAAGGTTTGGCTTTATCCAAAAAACTTCTTGAAGGTTAAAAGGTGTAGTATAAGACTCTTCAATTTGCATCGAACTAGGCCAACAGCCCGGTTTATGTGTCCTTTTGTCCAGACCATGAACTCATTCTCTTTCATTCCAGGAGGAAACCAGCTTTGATGCATATATGGTAAGAGTTGAGAGATCCCGTTTGGAAGAAGCCTCTTTTTTTGGTCCCATAATTTGATTGCTGAATTTAATTGGATGTTATTTTTAATGTTTTTTCGTCTAAGGTTTGGCTTTATCCAAAAAACTTCTTGAAGGTTAAAAGGTGTAGTATAAGACTCTTCAATTTGCATCCAAAATGTCTGGTGACTGTTTGTAACATTTGAATTACTTGAGACAATACCATTGCTTGGTAGTAACATCTTAGTGAAGGTAGATCAAGACCGCCTAAACTTGACGGTCTGTAAAGCATATTTTGACTTATCCTAGATTTTTTCCCCTCCCACAGAAATCTTGTCAGGGAATTCTGCCATATAAGCAGATCTTTGTTGTTAATAGTGATGGGTAGAGTTCGGAATAAGAAAAGGAATTTGGTAAAATGAAGCTCTTGATTAGGTGAATCCTATCGACCAAAGTCAGTCTAAGTGTGTTCCATTTTGAGATCTCTATTTTAATATTTTCATATATTTTGTGAAAGTTTTGAGATGTCAGCTCTTTGAGTTTTAGTGGGATGTACACTCCTAGGTGTCTCCAGTGTGTTGTAATTCATTGGAAGTTGAAGTTTCTTTTATTTCTTACTATAGTGATTTGTTCAAGATTTATCGGGTAGATTTCTGATTTGGAATGATTAATCTGCAGGCCAGATATATTAAAAAAGGAAGTCAGCACCCGGTGGATTGTTTGAATTGTGTTTGTGACATACATGAATTGGGTTTGTGACAAGTGCTGGTTCTTACCTTTAAAGCCCTTTATGGTCAGGGTCCGGCATTTATTGAAGGCAATTTAGGCAATATAACAATATTCACAAGAAATATGAAAGTTAACATAATAAAACAATAATTATAACAATGGTGAAGAACAGTGATCAACTTTAAAACTATAACGCCATCCAAGTATTAGGAGGGTCAAGGTGTAAAGTCAACTTTAGAAATGACACAGTGATGTAGCCAAAATTGCCTCCCATGTCCCCAAAACCCTCTGGCCAGTTGCTTGGCCTGGCAACCCTACCAGTTCGCTGTTTTCCCCCAGCTCCCCATACTTCTGACTAGTAGGGTCTCCTGTTGTCCAGATCGCCTTCTACCATCCACTGTCTACATTTCTGTGTCCTTTCCA